TCGCAGACTCGTCCTGCTCTCCCTGTCCCAGTGGTACGGCGCTTCAGGGCTTGGCCTCTGCCTGTCTTTTCATTTTGATCTTTATTCTTTTCTTTGGCCGTGTCTTTTAGTCCCGGTGATATGAAATGCCACCGTCAGTGCCGATAATGATGTCAGTCTGTGCATCTTCAGTCCGGACCCCATCCCTGAGCTAAGAGTCATAGAGTCAGCTGTTTACTGGGCACAAGCCCTTGGTTATGACCAGGAATCTCCCATTAACATTCCCAAGTACAGCGCTTGGTAACTTGCACCTCACTGCGAACCTTCCGTCCTTGTGTTTTCTTACCTCCGTGAACGTCCCACCATAGGCTGCTGAGGTCCAACCCTGAGAACCACCCGCCATCCTCCTTTTCCCGCTCACCCCACCCACTCCACCAACCCCAGAGTCACTTCTCCAGCTCTAACCCCAAAACAAGATTTGAATTATTTCACTTATTTTTCTCTTCTTAAGTCATTTGTCTGTCGACTGACGTGGTGAATAGGTGGCCTCCTAACTGTTCCCCCGATTCCATTCTTGCCCTCTGACTTCACTGGGTTCGCAGCTTCAGTTCTCGGACGAAATATCCCTTCTTCGCTGACTGGTGTGGCTCAGTGGGTTAGGCATCATGTTGCAAACCTAAGGTAGCAGGTTCGGTTCCCGGTCAGGACACATACTGGGTTGCAGGCCAGGTCCCTGGTTGGGGGCATACGGAAGGCAACCTATTGATGTTTCTCTCTCACATCAATGTTTTTCTGTGTCTCTTTCTTCCCCCGTTTCCCTCTTTCTAGAAAAAAATAAATAAAATATTTTAAAAATAAAGAAAAAGAAGTGTCTCTTCTTCAAGGAGGCCTCACCTAACTACCACCGCCAGTCACCAGCATGTCAGCCTACTCATTGTCTACACGACATTTGTCAACATTGGACGTTATTTTGCTTACTTACCTGTCTACCCGTTTATTACTTGCCTCTCCAATTGGAATGGAGGCTCCAAGGGGAGAAGCCATGTCTGTCTTCTTTGCTGCTAAATCTCCAGGGTCCGGCATAGTGTTGAGATAGGCTCTGAACAAATATTGGTTCACGAATTAATTTTTGTTTGGCCCTGCATTTTAATCATTAGGCAGTCAGGCAAATGCAAACCCTTCATGCCCAAATATATCTATGTCAGATATCCCATTACGTGTGACTTAATTTATTTCTGGCTTGGAGAACTGAAGTATACCCAAATGAGATTTTGTTTATAATTTTATTGTTTCTTTCTGCTGAGACAAGTTCTTATTTAAGGGCCTCCGTGCTTGTTATGAAATGAGAGATAATGTCATTAAAAGCCCTGGCTTCCACTGCTGGAAGCTTCCACTGGACCTTGGCTATGGGGAAGTTCCTACCTATTAGTGAGCCCGTCTGTAGCTTCTGCAAGCCAGTCTTTTCCCACTGTCCAAAAAGAGACTGATAGTTTGAATGTCTTAAGATGAACCTTTCATTTAAATACTTTTCAATTTAATATCATTATGGAAAATCTTGCCTTTTATTGATGAGTATATCACTCGATGTTACAAATAGATATAAGACAACATACAATGTTCTGCTATTAAATGAGATTATATATAATATATAATAATAATAAATAACATATAATCTCATATATGTTATGAGATTATACATATACATATAATCTCATTTAATAAATATCACACCTGGCTTAGCCATTTCATCATAAGAATGGCATAGAGAATTACATCATTCTCTACCAATTGAATTCTAACCCCAGTGTGATTTTTTTATGTCAATGTAACACAGATTTGGCTTATTAAGATATAGTATCCTTAGCAGGAGGTGGGTTCACAGGCTGCAAATAATGGGAGTGTGGGCTCACTGGAATTAATTAGCTTCCAGATTTTCTTTTGTTTTTTACTGCTTCTGAGTTAAGATTGGTTGATAGGCTATTGCACTGTAATGTATATTATGGTGTTTTCTTTTTTCTGGATCTGATGATGCTGTAACATATTAGGGGCCTTGCTGATTCTGGAGAGACCATCCCTCCCAGGGCTGGCTAATTTCTGGAGATAGCAATCAACTTCCTTATGCGCAAGCCTTACGTATGGAAACCAGTCCATCCAAAGTCCAAACCCCCAGCCACCTCCTTTATCTTATTTTCACACACCAAGCCACCTTTCTCCTGCCCTAAAGTTACCAGACATCTGGAGACCATCCCGTAAGTCAGAACCCACCAAAATTATTCATGCAATCCAATCCTGACCTTGCTCACACTTGCCTACTCGGCCTCGTCTGTGCCTTCCCATGGAAACCGCAGCAAAGCCTCGGGCCCAGGCTGTCCCTGCTGACCGACTCTGGTGCGCCCCCATGAGGCCTTCTGTGGTGCAACACACCCTCTCCTCTTCTTGGGAACTCTTGAGTAATAAACTTTTCTTTCAAGGCAATTGGCTCTTTGTCTGTCAACCTACCATATCTGATTAAAGTAAACCTAGGGTACATTTCAAAACAATTGCACAGCACAGGAAAAAAATGTACTTTTCATCTCTTCTTCAGAATCTCCAAGGACATCCTATCTGATTGTTTGACACCTTTGGTAGCAGACACAAACTTTCTCTTTCTGTCTCATTCTATTTAGTTCTTTTTCTCAATCTTTTTGTGCCATTATCTGTTGCCATGAGTTTTGGCTGGAGGAGGATTTTGTTGTACTGTAACCTCCAGAGAAATGCTTATTCTTCAGTTCACACGTATTTGAAGTTCAACAATGAAGGTAGTCCTTTGCACATGAGCAAGCACTTGACTCATATCACAAGGTAATAATAGCACATAATTGTGTTGAGAAATAAAGCGAAATCATAGAGCTATGGGATGTACCTCCTTCTCCAGAGCAGGCCCTGAACATGATGATGAAAGTGGATTTTCACAAAGGTCTGGATTGAAATCTCTGAAACATGTTGTGGATGAATTGATTTAAAAGATTTCCCAGGGGATGGTTCCCAAGGTATTTTGAATACAGCTGTGATAAAGTTTGGAATTGATTAGTAGACATCAAGATTGTTCAACAGCTGGGTATTAATGAGCAATTTAGAACTTGGATGAAGAATGCCTAGGCTGATCTGGGACTCTGGTGTGCTGGGACAAAGCAAAGAAAGAGAGAGAAGTTTCCAGGAAGGGAATTTAGGATGAAGGAAAGTCATCGGGGCCCTTGAAATGTTAACTGCTGACACTGCTGCTCGGTTGTAGTTCAGTGAGTTTGCATTCAAGTTCTACCACTCGCCAGATGCTAGCCCTGGCAGATGACTCATCTTGTTAATCCCCTAACCTGTACGGATGACAATGACCATGCAGCATTGTTGAAAAGAGTAAGCCTTTCCAGGGAAACACTCCAAAGGCAGAAAAAAGCACTCACTACTCTCAGGGGCTTACGGGCATACTCAGTGGAAGTGAAAAATCTCCCAGTAGCCTCATGTACTCCCTTACAATCCAGGGGTGGGCGAAGCTAGGTGTACAGCTGTGGCACACTGAGCCAGGCAGGAAAAGCAAAGAGTGCCATCTATAATCAGCACTCGTGGACTTCTGGGAACGTGGAAGGAAAGTTCTGAAGTGTGAAGTCCCAGGAGTGAGGTGAGAGTGGGCCAGGGCCAAGAGGAAGGCGTTGGACTATGGAGGGAGAGACCGGGGTAGGGAGGAAAAACGAGTCAAGTCCAAAGTCAACAGTGTTTGTCGTTACTGGGTTTTCTCTTGTTAAAATCTTTTTGTTGTAAGGGGTTAAGCAAAAATAGGTACATAAATAAAAACCTCATAGACAAGAGCATGGTGATTACTGGAGGGAAAGGGGGGTGGGGGGAGGTATGAGAGGATAGGGGACAAACGGTGACGGAAGGAGACGTGACTTGGTGTGGGGAACACACAATGCAATGCACGGATGATGTGTTACAGAATTGTACCCCTGAAACCTACGTGATTTTGTTTACCAATGTCATCCCAGTAAGTTCAATTTTTTAAAGAATCAATGCTTACTCTTTTTCTCTTCCTGGTTTGACCATTTCCTAATAACTTATTTTGTGGCTCCGGAGTTGGTGAAGTAGTTGACTTCGCTTCTGAGGGAGTGATAAACAGATCTGCTAGGAAGGTGTGAAGGCTTGAAGAGCAAGCGCTGTGAATGGCTAAGCCAGGGGAAGATTTATGAACAGCCCGACAGCGACTCGGCTCTGCTTGCCTTCAGCCCAAGAGCACAGCCACCTGCTGTCTCCCTGCAGGAGGCGGCTGACCTCCGACTCAGGGCGGTGCCGTGTACAGATGTTCTTGTACTCCGCTCAGCTCCACGAAGCAGTGTTCTTTTTTTATTTTTTATTTTATCCTCCCCCAAGGGTATGCTTTTATTGATTTTGGAGAGAGAGAGAAAGGGGAAGAGAGAGAAACACTGATAAGTTGCCCCCTGTATACTCCCTGACTTAGGATGGAACCTGCGATGTTTAGGCGCACGGGACAACGCTCCAACCCACTGAGCCGCCCGGCCAGGGCACAAAGCAGCATGTGGAAACAGCTGTACACATGGCTAGTCATGGGCTTTCGCCTGAGTCTTTGGGAAAGGAGGTTGATAACCTAGAGTTTGGAAGGTGACGGTCGCAACAGGGGCTGGAAAACATTACCGAGCTGCTGTTTCATTGTTAACTTGCAGGAATGGGTCATGGAGTGAACTTGGCTGCTTTTGAGGAGAAAGAAGAAAAGCAGACTCCTCTGGAAGTCCTGACACGGCGGGTGAATTGTGGAACAGGCTCTAACAGAGTGGGGGTGTGAAGTCGGTGTTAAGGATAAGAGCGAAGGTCTCGGGCGTGTTCACCCGGAGAGCTGCCCTTCTCTGGCTGTGAGGGCGGGAACTCTTTCCCAGCGGATGCGCAGGGAATCGTGAAAAACCCACCGAATCTCGAGTTTCCTCCGCGGAAGCTGCTTCTCTGACTGTTTCTTTCTTCATCTCCTGTCCCCCCTGCAGTCCCAACAGAAGTGCATCGTGATCTTCGCCCTGGTGTGCTGCTTTGCCATTCTCGTCGCCTTGATCTTCTCGGCTGTGGACATCATGGGAGAGGATGAGGACGGGCTGTCCGAAAAGAATTGTCAAAATAAATGTCGGTAAGAGGTAACAAACAAAAATTCTCTTTTAGGGGGTGGGCGAGAAAGCCAGAGGGCCCTGGGCTGGGGAGAGGAAGCAGCCCTAACCACACGTGTTCATCCGAACTCGCCTCGGGCTTCAAGCAGGGGCCTGATTCTGGGTCCGCTGACCTGTGCACTTTGAGGTCGGGAAACTAAAAATGAGTAGAGATTCAACTCCCTTTGCCATTTGGGCAGATTCTGTGCAGAGGGGTGGTGGACAGAATGACATTTTGTACAAGTCTGCATTTCTGGAGGATTCTGTGTGTGAGGATTTGGCCTCTTTGGGGGATGGCTAAACACGAGGGTCCCAAAGGGACAGAGGACACCATGGTAGTTGTGCCATCAAATGGCAGTTTGAAAAACACCAACTTGAAGTGAGGGGTCAAATAGATGAACGTGTCTTTGAGGATGCACAGGCCTGCTCAGTCTGACCCAACGTGGCGCACAGTGTATCCATCTCGAAATGACAGCAGCTTTGCCTTTATGTTTCTGAAGAATGTCTCTGCATTCACATTAAACAGTGCCTCCCTGGGCCTCCTCTTCCTACTCATCCCCGAGAGGAGGAGGAGGATGGTGGTCACCAGGAGGGTGTAGCAAAGCACCGAGAGGGGGACAGAGAGATAAGAGGTCTATTTTTACATTCCTGCTGCTGCGAAACTGAAGTCAGCCCACAAAATCACAACAGTTTTTATGAATCAGCGCTTCTAATGCATTTTAATTGTAATTTTCCCTTGTGGGAAGAAACATTAGTCTAAATGTCCTCCTTTCTACCTTAAAATCAACCACCTGGTAAGGTGGATGTGAGTTTTTATCCTGGGTATTTTGTCTTGAGGGTTGAATGGCACAAAAAGAAAATCTGAAAAGGGCAATTGAAGTTTGTTTTCTTTTTAGCCCACGACATATTAGAGTCTGGTTACCAGGCAACTGCATTATATACAGAACAAAGGATGCAGGAGAGACATCAGTATACATTTTAGATGTATTCCTTCATGTTCAAAAGGTGTTTCTAAATGCATTTACTTCCCAGACTGAATTTGGGAGAAAACGTGTATTGGGAGCACAAGGAAGGCAATAGAACAACAGTGATCATTCGCCTCTTCTCGCTGAAAGCTCCGAACTCTCTGTGGACGAGGGGCCAGGGACTCCTCATTGGGCTGGCTGCTCCTCCCTGGCCTCACCCTATAAGGAAGACTGCTGGGTGCTTTGAAGGGCAAACCCCAGCACCTAGAAAGCAACTTTATAAAGGCCAAACTGTAACAACTGCCTTAAGACAAAACACCCCGTACCTTTTAACACACATTGCCACCTGTAGGAGGTAGTTTCCAACAACAACAACAAAAGGGAACCTTAAAATTATGTCTCTTTCACTTGGGGGAAGCTATAATTGAATCTAAATTTGACTTTGAATTCATACGATTGGAACGTGGGTCTGGTTCTTTCTTCCATCTTAATCAGCCACTCAGCTGATGAGTCAACACAGCTTGCCCCTCCTTCCAGAACGTATTCGTCAATGACCAACCACTCCCCTGGTCTGTTGGAGTCACGGCCTGGTTACTGGGTGCCATCCCTGCACGCGGCTGTCTTTTCTGGAATCTGCAGCCCCTCCAGGTCTTCCGGTTTTCTACAGCCTCTCCCCCTGTGTCCTCTGCTTCTGTTCTACGTTCTCAGCCATGTAATAGGCACATTCTGTGTGTGTGTCCCTTGGATCTTCTGCTTGCTGGGCAACTGCGAGTCCTGGTACCCCAGTGTGCTTCCGACCTCTGGTGGGACACGGTCCATTGTCCCGCCGTCTTGTCTCCATGCTTCTCATTTTAATTGTGTGGCATTTTCTTACATCACCCGCTCCCTCGTCATTATAGACAACCTCCAGTTCCCACGTCCAGGACTCTCTCCCACCTTCTTTTGTGCCTGGCTGACAGACCTCTAGGTGGCGGTAGTGAGAGCACAGGCTGCTCAGCCTCCAGTTCCCTTTTCCATACTGCCACGGTTGCCTCTTCATGCTTTTCTCCTTGGGCATCGCTATGGCAAAGGGGACTGCTTGCTCAGTTCTTTGGTGAGGTCCTCTTACTTTGTAATTAAACTCCCTTTACCTTCCTACCTCTTCTCACTCCGGAGAGTTGAAAGAATATCAACTCTGTCCGCAGCTTCTCGCTGTTTCGACTACTTCTTCCCAAGTTCTCCTCTCCCAGTGCACTCTTTCCTACATGTATTATTTACTTCTTCTCATCTCTGCTACTCCGAGTCACACCGCTCACTTTTATATGTCTTTCTAAAAAAAAGTATCTCCCTATAGAAAATATCCTATTTGTAATTCTTCTGTCTGCCGTATTTCTCTTTCCCCTTTTATTACTCTGCTGCTGTAATACTGCACTAGTAGTAGAATAATGATGCCCTCAGTGATCATAATTTCCACAGGAATCTATAAAATAAAAACTGCTCTAAACTTATCCTCCAAAGTGCTTTTGGTTAAAAGCTCAGTTGTTATGCTCAGAAACAAGATCTTCTGACTCAGTAAATGACTTTGACTTATTCTTTTGTTTCTCCGTGCTGAATGTCTGTGTACTTTTCACCATTTCCCAGGGTGTTTGTCATTGCTGATTCAGTCCCTTTAAATATACGCCTCCATGGCCCTTGACTACTTAAGGGGGTGAAATGTAAATCTCTCGTTTCAGCTAGGGAATTACATCTCGGTGGGCTCTGGAGCCTCACTGGAGAATTAAGAAAGGCTTATTTGGCCCTGACCGAGTGTCTCGGTAGGTTAGAGTGTCATCTGGATAAGCCAAGGTTGCAGGTTCCGTCCCCAGTCAGAGCACGTGCTGGAATCAACCAATGAATGCACAGATGGGCGGAGCAGCGCATCAATGTTTCTTTCTCAAAGCAATTAAAAAAAAAGAGAGTGGCTTATTCTGCCAGTTTAGATTGCATGTGTGCTGTGGCTTGGCTATTTTATGATTTACTAGAGCCCCTATTTATCACACTAGGTCATTCTTGTAAGAGTTAACTGTGCCCTGAAAAGTTCCTACACATCACACCCCCAGGGACCCGCAGAGATGAGGGAACTTACCTCCAGGTGCTACTCAGGTGCAGAACACCTGCTCTCAGCGGAACGCCCACTCTTACAGAGGCCAGGCTTCTGTTTTGAACTTTGCACCTACATCTGTCTCACCTCTCCTGGAGCGATCCTACTCTAGTTGTTTTAGGTTTTTACTCACTCATTTATTGGACTAGACACTCACGAGAAAAGGACCTTTCTTGACCACACCTCCCTGATAAATCCACCCAGAACTAGTCTGCACCCTGCCCCTGCCCACCGCAGGCCCAGTTCCCATACCAACATGGGAGTTCATTTCTGCAAACTCGCTAGACAAGCTGAGTAAACATAAAATTTGGGGTGGGTTATCACTGCCTTTGGGGGATGCCTGCCACCTCTTCTGTCCAGGTATTTATGGAGGCCCCTGCTCCTGGGCATCCTCACACTCGCCCTTCGTCCTCTTGAATCAGCCCCATGCCTGGGAGGTCACTGGCTTATTTCTGCTCACTCTTGCCCGCAAATCTGTGGATGTATTTTCTCTTATTCCTACTTGTTCTGAAGCAGGAAGGGAATGGACCAGCTCTGTGTGCATGTGTGATATCCACTGTTCCTGAACCCAAGAAACCTTTTTCATCCTCAAGTGAATGGACTTGGGTCTACAAAAGACAGGACCCAGGGAGTATCTTAGGCTGAGTCCCCAGTGTTTAAGTTACCAAGTCATCCTTCAGTAAGGGGTGGCCTAGAGTGCCAGGGTTTGGCCACAGAACGTATAGCAGGCATCAGACACAAACACACTTTTTACATATACTTTCTAAATTGTTTAATTTCTCTATTAAAAAGCTGACTTTTTGCCCTAGCCGGTGTGGCTCAGTTGGTTGGAACACTATCCCGTAGACTGAGGGGTCAGAGGTTCGATGCCTGGTCAGGGCACATACCCAGTTTACAGGTTTGATCCCTGTTCAGGGTGCATACGAGAAGACAGTCAATCGATGCTTCTCTCTCTTTCTCTCTCTCTCTCCCTTCCTCTCTAAAAAGCAATGAAAAAAAAAAGCTGACTTCTCTAAGTTCTATTTTCACATACTTTGTGTTCTGGATTTCTTCCTCTGATCCATTATTTTCTTACTTAAAATAATGATCTTTATCAGTGCCCATATCTACATCGAGAACAGAGCTGTACCTCTGCTGTAGGACATGCGTGATTTGGCTCCTCAGGGTAACGCTTGTAGAAGACAGCACTGAGGCCCCCGCACGCACTGCCAGTCGCCTGCTCGTGTTCTGTGCTTTCTCATCTAGTGTGTCGTGACCTTAGAGCCGTCCAAACAGACTCAACAGGCTGCGACAGAGTTTGATCATTGTTTTTTCCTTCAATGCCCAAGTTGTTTTTATTTAGCTAGACAGGGCTGTCTTTTGTACTTCTTTGACACTATTCCACCTGTTTGAGATCAACCTTGCTTTCTGGCGACAGCAAGCTGGTCTCGCCCCATTCTGATTTTTTTTTCTTTTTGTTTTTGCTCTGAGACATGGTATTATCTACTCCCTGGTTCCTTTCATGGAGAATTCTACTAAAGACCCAGGTTCCAAAGGTGGCCCTGTTGGAACTTAGATTGCCCCCAAGGATACTGGGGAAAAAGTACAATGACACCAGAGCAAAACCTCTTTTAATTACTTTTGTGACTGAGCAATACTGCCCTCCCCCCACCACTTCCCCTTCCTTCTTTTCATAGTATAGACAGGAGACCATGTTCTGAGAGCCCCAATTACCCGGTTCTGACTCTGGCTGCACCGGGTAGGAGATTGAAGGTCTTGGGTAAGTTTCCTACTTGTCTGTGCCACATGCTTTTAATCTGTCGAATGCAGACAGTTGCGGTGCCGTACTGGAAAGGTTTCCGTAAGGACTGAATATGCAAGCCCCTTCAATAGATGATCAAGCAATGTCGGCTGTTACTCT